CAATGACCCATAGAAGAATGAATTAATTAAAAAAATAAAGAAAAACCTGTAAATAGATCAAGGTCTGATTTTTGATCTCTAGGCATGTTCTTTAGTCAGGTCCGATGGGGTGCCATGCTCTGGCCCCAGAGTCTGCCCTTTGCACTCCCTCGGGGGCTCCCTGCTCTGCTCCCAAGGTTGCTCTGCCGCACGCCTTTAGTGGTTTGCCTCGGTGTCATGGGGTCAGTCCGGGCCAGTCCCCCGGGGTCTTTCACATGGCTCTTCTCACCCCCTGCCGTGGAGTGGATGCCCACCCCGACTCAGTGAGACCCTATAGGACAGAGTAGAACTGCCCCTTCGAGTGAGTTCCCAAGACTCTAACTCATAACGGGAGCAGAAAGCCCCATTCTTTCTCCCAGAATATTTATTGAAGTACACTTAAATAAATGTGGGCCGGTTAGCGCAAATACTGCTTCTACCAAGGGGCTTAAGAGAGTTCTTGGGAAAACTCCATTATCTTTGAGTTCCAATTCTCCATGCACTGTGTGCAGCCCGACACTCCGTCATCTGTGTGCATTGACACAATCCTTTATAGGGATCTATAATCCTTTACGAGTGGCTTGTCAGTGTTCTAAGCTCCCTACCCGGTCCCAGAGGATAAATGTATCCATTCGTATTACATTTTGGTGCCTGAAAGATATGTGTTGTGATTTCTTGGCATGACCACTGTGTAAAATGAGAAAAGCAGTGTCTTACTTTGAAACTGATAATTAAATAACTGCAAGCATCAAATCCACTTGCTGTGAGCCCCATGCATTCTCTTGACATGGGCATGTGTGGAGTGGCTCCGAAAGCTTTCCTGGGTTAAGACTTGCAAAGCTGACGGCCTGATCTTTGCCCGCTCCTGCTAGGATGGGTCCTCAGCTAGCTGCTGCCCTGAGTCAGTTGGAACTCACAGCGACCCTATAGGACAGCGGTTCTCAACCTGTGGGCCAAGACCCCTTTGGGGGGGTCGAACGACCCTTTCACAGGGGTCACCCAATTCATAGCAGTAGCAGAATGACAGTGATGAAGTAGCAACGAAAATAATTTTGTGGTTGGGGGGGTCATCACAACATGAACTGTATTAAAGGGTCGCGGCATGAGGAAGGTTGAGAATCACTGCTCTAGGACAAGGGTAGGAGTGTCCCTAATGAGCCTATAAGCCAGAGCGGTGTGTCTCCGAGACGGTGACAGATCTCGAGAGTGGAAAGCCCAGTCTTTCTCCCTCGAGCTGCTGGTGGTTTTGAACTGCTGGTGGCGTGAATCGCAGCCCGACGGGTAACCACTCCACCTCCAGGGCTCCTAAAATATGCATCAAGCTCTTGTGTTTCTCTGGCGGGGACCCCTCCGAGGCCGGACCTGAGCAGAGGGAGAGCGCTCCGAGGAGGGGACCCTTCCCCATCCCTCCAGGTCCCGCTCCTCCGCTTCCACCTAGCAGCACTCTCCTCCCACTTTTCCCCTCCTCCTCTCGCTCCTCGCCCCGCCCCTTCCCGCCGCGCCCCGCCCCTTCCCGCACGCCCCGCCCACATGTTCGCGGGGCGCTGCGCTGGGTCTCGTGCCCGCGGACCTCGGAGCAGCGTGCCTGCCGCGTGGTGGGCGGGCTCCTGCCTCGGCCGGCCATTGGCAGAGGCCGCCGCCTGCGGCTGTCAATCCCGCCAGCGCGACCAGGCCCCGCCCCTGCCGGGAAGCGTCGCGGCACGCAGGGCGTCGCGGGGGCTGCCGGGACAGTTTTAAGATGGCCGAGCGCCTCGGTTCCGCTTCTGGCTGCGGCCCCGAGTCCCATTCATTGCCCCGTTGCTGAGTGGCGCCGCGTCGCCGAGAGTCGGGCCCAGGGCTCCGGGGGCTGTCCCGGCCAGCCGGGACGTCGCCATGGCGACCCTGGAAAAGCTAATGAAGGCCTTCGAGTCCCTCAAATCCTTCCAACAGCAGCAGCAGCAGCAGCCCCCGCCGCCGCCGCCTCAGCCCCCTCAGCCGCCGCCGCAGGCGCAGCCGCCGCCTCCCCCGCCGCCGCCTCCCGGCCCGTCCGTGGCCGAGGAGCCCCCGCACCGACCGTGAGTGCCGGACCCGGCTCGGGAGGGAGCGGCGTCCCTGCACGAAGGGGGCCCCTGCCCGCGGGAAGACACCCCGGGGTCGCCGCCCGAGGTTCTCCGTGCGCGGGTGGAGGCTGCGCCGGCGAGCTGCAATTAGGGAAAGAACTGTCTGCTGCCGTTCGCAGGACGGGAGGTGGCCGGGCGGGGGTGGGGGTGGGGGGCGTGTGTGTGTGCCCCTCCCCTTGCCCCCTGAGGAAGAGCAGCGGCCTCTTCCCCTTGCGCCCCCTCCCGTCACCCGGAGCGCGGGCACCCCGCGAGGAGCCGGGGTCCGGCTGGAGTGCTGGGGAGCGGGGATGACATCATGCTCTGAGGACGTCGAGGCCCGAGTGGGGAGGGCAGGGCGGGGGCGCGAGGACGCTGTCCAATGGGATATGCCCGTTCCAAGTGGCTCTGGGAACAGCCGGTGACGCGAGACCGCCTTCGCACCCCCTCAGGCCTTTGCTGTGGCTCGGAGCGGCGGCGGCAGGATTTGAGGCATCACCCCGGGGAGCCCTGAGGTCGGCCTGCAGGAACTGGTTTCCCGCCGCGGGCGGCGACGAGCTGCTGTGTGTGATTGTGGGACCCAGGCGGCGGCCTGTTCTGTAGACTGACATCCTAGGCGTGGTGGACCGGAGTTGGCGGGCTGCTTGGGAGCCCGGAGGAAAAGCGGCCGCGGTGCAGGTGTGCATGTCACCGGTGGTGTAGTCAGCTCCTTAGGACACTGAGTGTCTCAGCCCCGGGGATATCTCAGGTGTGCCAGTAAAGAGTGGTTGTTTTGTTTGCTTGCTGCCAGTCTGTTACTCCTGGGCAGCGGGGCAGGAGTTTTGTCACATGGGGGAGCAGAGAATATGTGAACAGTCCGACCGTTGTCAAACTCCTTGTCATTGTTAATGGATTTGAATTCCAACTCATAGTGAGTATCTGATGGGGTAGAACTGCCCTACGGGGTTTCGGAGGCTGTAGTCTCTACATGGTTTCTTAGGGCATTTGAACTGCCAACCTTTCCAGTAGAAGCAGAGTACCCTAACCACTGTGCCAGAGGGCTCAAACCACGAGTAAACCCCACAACCACTGCTGGAGTCTGACTCATCGCTGCGGTAGAGGACAGAGGAGGACTGCCCCACCTGCAGGGTTTCTGAGATTTCATCCTGACAGAAGCCAGTGGCCAGCTCTGTCCTGGTGAACTGCCAACCTGTAGGTTAGCAGCCCAGCACTTGTGACTGTGCAACTACCTCTATCCCCAACAGCTCACTGCCCTGTAGTCTGCTCCCACACTCACTGACCACGGGACAGAGGGGAACTCTAGGTTTCTAAGGCTGTCCATTTTTGAGGAAGCCGGCAACCTCCTCTTTTTCATGTGGTGCTGCTGGCGCTTTTGAACCACCCACCTTGCAGCTAGCAGTTTAATATTTAACCACCGTGCCACCAGGTCCCCCTTAACCACATTAGTGGCGAGAGGGATGTCATTGCTGATGTCAGATGGATCTTGGCTGAAAACAGAATACCCGAAAGATGTTTCTAAACCTAAAAGTAAAACAAAACCCAACTGTCATCGATGGGCTTCTGACCCATAGCCACTGTATGGGAGAGGGTAGAACTGCCCCTGTGGGTTTCTGAGACTAACTCTATGGGAGTAGCAAGACTTCTCTTCTCTCTCAGAGCAGCTGGTGGTTTCAAACTACTGTCCTTGTGGTTAGCAGCCCAGTGCATAGTCACTGTGTCACCAGGGCAGCCAGAAGATGCTTACTTGTGCATTTTATTGACTGTGCAAAGTCATTTGACTGATGGTTCAAAATGAACTATGGATAACATTACGAGTGGGAGTTCCAGAACTCTTCGTTGTTCTCAAGTGCAACCTGTACCTGAGCCAAGAGGCAGTCATTGGAACAGAATAAGGGGATGCCACATGGCTTAAAATGGGGGAAGGCATGTGTCCTTGCTGTATCCTTTCACCATTCAGCCAGTATGCTGAGCAAATAATCCGGGAAGCTGGACAGTAGTATCAAGAAGTATGTGGTTTCAGCGTTTGAGGAGGGCCTATTTACAACCTGCGATATGTAGGTGACACACACTGCTTACTGAAAAGCAGGAGGCCATAATGCACTTACTGATGAGGATCATGCAGGCTTTGTATGGACTACAGAGTACAGTATGACGTACACATCAACGTGAGGAAAGCAGACATCCTCAGAATTGAACCGGTAGACAACATGATAAACGGAGAAAAGATCGTCATGGATTTCATTTTACTTGGATTTCAGTCAGCACTCGTGGGAGCAGCAGTGAAGAAGTCAAATGGCATAATGCATTGGGCAAATCCATCGCAAAAAACCTATGAAAGTGTTAAAGAGGAAAGATGTTACTTTGCGGACCGAGGCACACTTGACGCACGTCCTGGTGTTTTTAACCACCTCGTACGCATAATGAAGCTGGACAGTGAATGGGGAAACCGGTAGAAGGATACCTGCGGTGTTGGCAAAGAATATCGGCAGTGCCTTGTACTGCCAGGACCCCTGGTGGCATCGTGTGTTTACGGGTTGGGCTGCCAACCACAAGGCCAGCCATTTGAAGCCACCAGCCACTCCGAGGGAGAAAGATGAGGCTCTCTACGCCCCTAAAGAGTTACAGTCTTGGAAACCCACAGGAGCAGTTCTACTCTGTCCTGCAAGGTTGCTGTGAGCCGGCACCCACTTGATGGCAGTGGGTTGTTCTGCTGTGAGCTGGCAGAAGAGTAAACGTCCGTTTCAGAGGAAGCACTTCCAGGTTGTTCTTTGGAACCTTTTTATCAGGAGAGCCTCCTTCCTGGACAAGTGACACGATGCTTGGTAGCATCGGAGGTCAGTGGAGAAAGAGAAAGACCTTTGGCGAGACAAATGGACAGTGGTTGCAACAACGGCTCAAACATAAGAATTGCGAAGCTGGCACAAGACTGGACAGTGATTTGTTCTGTGGTACTTGGGGTCACTGTGGGGCCGAGCTGACAGCACCCAGTCACCACAGCTACGGGACCCTAGGGCTTTTCCCAGAAGACTGTGGGGCTGCTTGTTCAACAAGAGTCAGGCTGACCTGTGCTGCAGCCCAAGGAGAAACAGCAGGTGTTCTCCTCGGAAATTCGACGGGGCAGCTCTGCTCGCTCCCGTGGGGTCACTGTGTGTCTGAGGGACCCCGCAGCTAACAACACTGTTGCAGCCTGGCCTGTCTCTTGCCTCTGGGTGTTTCATTCAGGGTCTGTGAGTGCAGATACTATTCCGAGGGGCACTGTCCAGGAAGCAGCTTCTGAGACGCTCACCTGGTGCAGGGTGCCTCACTTTTAGCAGTTGGTTCTGTGTGTTTTTCTTAGGGTCCTTACCAAGTGTCCTGAGAGTTTTAATTAGAAATGGAGAATTCGAGGTTCGAGTGGCGGGGTGTGGAGAGCGGAGTTAGGTTGGGTTAATTGTTGTAATACAACTGAGAAATAAATGAGTTTTTCTCCAAAAAGGCAAAACAGCTCTTAGGATACTTAGAAAAACATTAAACACCTGACTTGCCATGAAAGCAAGTGATTGACCATCGTTCTGTCTGCCCGCCCGTACAACGTGGATCTCCTGTGTGAACATGGGTGCCATCAAGCCGGGCCCTGACTGGAGACCTCAGTGCTGGCCACTGATGGCTTGTCCTCAAACGGTCCGCCCCACCCTTCCTTCTGTTTCTTCTGCTAGCTGGACAGAACATGAATTCTCTTTGTTTTCAGAATATGGGTGTCACCAGGTTTCTTTTTAGCACTGGCTTAACAGGCAATGGACTTTCTCTTTTCTAAGTTAATGTATGCGATAGATTTATTAAAAAAATAATCCAGTCTATTTTTTCCTAATGAAAAACATTGATTCTACAGTTGCGAAAGGATACTTATTAAGAGCTCCCGCCCACTCCTTTCTCCTAAGTGCCTGACTCCATCCCCAGAGGCAGCCGGTCTTCAGCTCTTCACCTCGTCCGTGTGTCCTTCCAGATAGCACCATCTGCAAATATCAAGCTAGAGCTCCACCTGGGGAAAAACCCATGTTTTAGAATGTCACCCTCACAGGCCTTGTGTATGCTCCGCAGTCAGCTGCCAGCAACCCTAGTTTGAGTATTTTAAATAACGCGACCCGCAGGGGACCTCATGGCTGTGTATTTGGCAGAAGAGAGTCATGCCTCTTCAGTAGCAGAGTCACAGAGGTGGACGTTGGCATCTCTGTTTGGACTGGCGGGCTGAAAATCTGTTCCCGGAGTCAGGCCGGCTGAGCAGAATCGAGAAGGCACCTGCTTTGCCTCTGTGGCTGTGGTCTTGCGGGCCTGCGGGACCTTGGGCTTCTGCATCCCAGAATGACTGCATCTCAGATAGGGTGGGACTTGGCTGGCATGTGTGGGACGGGCAGAGTTTGGCGAGGTCCTGACAGTCATTGGCCAGGTAACTGTCACTTGTCAGGAGGTCTGGCAGTGTGGTGGGTTACGCATTGAGCCGGTCAGCAGTTCGAAACCACCAGCTGCTCCACGGGCTTTCTGCTCACGCGAGATGCAGTCTGGGAAACCCACAGGGGCACTTGTACTCTGCCCTGTGGGGTCACTGATTCACAGTTGATGGCCTCGGTGACAGTATATCGTTGGCACATTCTCCTCCTTCAGTGTCCCAGCTAGTTTATCCCTGCAGCTTAGTCATTCGTCCCTCCGTCAGCGTTTACCGAGCATCTGCTGTGTGCCTGCTGTGGACAGACACACCTCTGTCCCCGAGGCTGTCCATCAATACGGAATACGGATAGGAGGGGCTAGGGTTTTGTGCTGACGACAGAGATAGGGTGTCCCGGAAGGGCCTGGAGGGGAAGGTGCTGTGGGCGAGACCTTTGGTGCAGAGCCTCTCTTTGAGGAGTAGCCGGAGGTCACTTTGGCTGCACGAACTGAGTGGTGGATGGGGGAGGGCCGGAACAGATGGACAGGCTCTTCCGTGGAAGTGAAGATGCTGGCATTTG